TGAGGGGGAACGGGCAGCCCCTCCCCAGCAGGCGCTGGACCAACACGCGTGCTCACCCGCTCTTCTGGCTTGTCGCTGTCTGTGCGCGTGAGGGAGGGGCTGGGAAGGCACCCCGGTGGCTGTGTGCATGTGGGGACACTGGCAGAGATGTCCACGGATGTACTGTAGGGCCCTGAGTGTCCCTACACGTAGTTCCTCTAGCAAAGCTAAGCCCGTAACCAGCAAGGAGAGCCAGGCAGGGAGCAGGCGGGTCGCTCTGGAGTACCCTGGGTGGCAAGCACTGCCATTAGAGGGCAGCGGGAACCTCCCCATGCCACATGACCAGTGACCACACGCACTGGCATTCAGACCGAGCCAAGCAAGTGCAGGTCCCTTTGGACAAGGCCGAGGCAAGGACAGTTACTACAGTCACTGCCCTGGCCGCAGGGCCCGGCAGGCAGTGGGTCCAGGGCCCAGGTGGTGACTGGGCTTGGGTCCTGCAGCAGGCTCAGGGCTTAGTCTAGCCTGGCTGGCTACCACAGGCCCACCCTTCCTCATCAGACTGCTGGACCAGCCCTCGGAGAGCTGGGCCCAAAGATGGGCCAGCCCACGAGCCCCACCCTGGACCAGCATCCCACCCGGATGGCGCCCAGCACAGCGGATCAGGAAGGGCACCGCACCTGCCACTTAATGGCGCCTGTGGTGGCAGAGGCCTTGGAACCCTGTTCGTGCGGATTCCCCTCAGCCCAGACCCCAGGCGCTGGCCAGCGGCCACAGGGGAAGCCGAGGCAACTGGAGTCCTTGGGAGGGACAGGGGGGTGTCCCCAGGCCGGCGCACCCCAAAGCACCCTCTGAGAAGGAGGGGGCCTGCCCACAAGAAAAAGCCAGTCAGTCAGGGCCTCGAGAGGAAAACTGAAGAGGGGGATGTGACCGCCATGTCCAGTGTCACACATGCCTAAAACATTAAGTAAAAACAATGCATTAAAAAGAAAACTTTTATAGCGAAAACGGAAGATGCCTCTGCCTTGTGGGCCACGGGGTCCCTGGCTTGGCCTGCAGCACTTTCGGGTTCATGGCAAGTGGCTTAGTCCCTTGGGCTCGGGACGGTGCTGTCCACGGAAGGGGTCAAGGTAAGAATGTATGGGCAAGGGGCAGGGATTTGGTTCAGTGGTTCCACGTAAGGACCCAAGTTCGATCCTCAGTACAAAACAAAACAAAACAGGCCAACAACTATGGGTAAGGCCCCTGCCTCTCCTGTGATGGCCCAATCCAATCCCACAGGTGGCTGCTTGCACCCCTCCCCCGGGGCTGACTGTGGGCCAGCAGGTAGTCCACAAGGTCCTCCCACATGGGGTGGGGCCCAGCATCAGTCCCTTGAGCAGTCCATGTCCTGGGCACGCAGGAAGGGTTTTCAGCGCTGGCGCCAGGCCTTTGCAGTCAGCAAGCAGTGTCTGGCAGCTGCCCTGCAGGCTCTCCCAGTGGTAGTTGAAGATGGCATTGTGGGTCAGGCTGCCCAGTAACACCAGCCCCCTGGAATCCAAGGACAGGGCCTGGTCCCGGTCGTACACCTGCAGGACCCAGGTGACCCTGAGCAGCACTGGTCTCCCTGGCTGCCCAGAGACAAGGACCTCAAGAGGTGGAAGATACTGCTGCAGGTGCTGTGGAGACAGAGGCGGCACCACTGGGAAGCAGAAAGGGCAACCCCTACCCGGCAACTCCCCAGAGCCAGGGCCCTCAGGCCCCAGGGGGTACCATGGTGGTCAGAACCCAGTGCTGGGCATCACAGGGTTCCCCAGGCGCATGCACCACCCACCCCGGCGCCATCACCACAGCCCTCACCGGGCTCTGCTCTTACCAGGAGAGGCAGGGCATCGGTGGCTTCAAGGGGAACAGCTGTGAGCAAGGAGCAGAAGGGTGTGGGGAAGAGGTTGGTAGGGTGCAGGGAAACCATGCACCCCATCTGTCCTCTCCCCAGAGCCAGGGCCCCTCAGGCCCCCGGGTATCAAAGGTCCCGGGGGGCACCATGTCCTCACAGGGGGTCAGAGCCCAGTGCTGGGCATCACGGGGGCCCTGCTGCTCACCTGCCCCTGGGCCCCAGGGCTCCCGCAGTCCAGAGAGCACAGCACAAGCAACACTCAGAGAACCAGAAGAAAGCGACCAATATCTAGCCTATGAGGGGACCATGGCCCCTGCCCAGGTCCATCCGGTGTCAGCTGTACGACCTGGAGCAACTGACGGGGCAGCGGCACTGGGAGGGCCGGCGAGGTAGAGGCGGCTTCTGACTTCTTTCTGCTTGGGCCTACTGTTCGGATCTCCCTGGTCCTAACAAAGTCACCTCCCAGACTGCTGCCCACATCCTAGGACTGCCTTTCCTTACTCACCATTTCACTCTGTGAAAACCAGGAAAGGGCACCTGCCTCTCACCAGAGCCCCAAAGGATTTGGTGAGCCTGTTCTCACCGCGTGCTCATTACTCATGAACAACCATGAGCGCCTGAATCTATTTTGTATCAAAACGTGCCATTCGAAGAGGCGGCAGCTATTTATTAACTAAAACAAAAACCACTGTTCACAGCCCAACTGTACTTCCACAGGGTGCTTGGGTAACAGGCACAGGGCCCACAGATTCAGAAGACGCAAAATCTCCAAGGGCTCAGAGTGAACAAACACTTCCTGTCTACTTCCCTGGGGCCACAGTCCTTCCTGACACCCAAGCAGGAGGAAACTCCTCCCAGAGCTGAGAATGCTCCTTTCTTTCTGCCAACACATGTAGCTGTCTTCCCATCTAACTTTGAAACACTAGCAAAATCCTGTTATTAAATAGTCACGGTGTACATTTAGGGCTATTTTAGTGAGTTTATGTACAAATGATCCACGGAACCCAACTATGTATGCCTCACTTCAGGTTCACTGTGTTCAGTTCACAAAAGCTACCAAGTGGCAGGCGATAACGCTGGGAGCAACTGTTTCCTCCTGTCACTGCCCCACACAGCTAAAAGGAGTTTGAAAGGTGGGTTTTGATGACGACTTTCCCCTAAGATCCAGTACTTTTTCCTTTCCCACCCCACATCTGATTCAATCCTTCCCTCTGGAGGGAGGGCAGGAAATGTCACTGTCTCCACCCAACTGTATGAAGGATTTGGGCACGAGATCCTGATGCGCTGCCCTATGGACACAGCCACTGGGGCTTAGGAGGAGGTCAACTCCCAACACTTCCAAGCCTCCACAAGGCAGCGCTGGGATCTGGATCCAGATCTAGCTGACTGGGCGGGTATCCGCAACCTTGAGATGGTTTTCATATGAAAATCCCAAGTACAGTTTTTGGCACATAAAATCAGGACCCAGAAATCTCACATTGTCACCCAAGATGGGGGTGAAGTATTTTTAGATGTAGATGGGCCAGGAGTGGAAGGAAGAGTTCTTACCACAATGGGGTGATGGCAGGCAGCCCCTCCGCTTGAAGATACACCTGTAACACAAAAGTACTTGGTGAGTGTGTGTGTAGGGGCAGTCCATAGGCTCAGGAGGACACCAATACTGGGGGCCCTCAGACCCCTAGGTGTCAAAGGTCCTGGGGGGGGCACTGTATCCTCACGGATGATCAGAGCCCAGTGCTGAACATCATGGGGGCCCCAGCCCCTCTACAACCAGACCCCCTTACTTTCAAGAAGATGCCAAGCAGGCCGGGGGGTGGTTGCGCACGCCTGCGATCCCCCAGCACTCGGGAGGCTGAGGCAGGAGGATCGCTATGAGTTGGAGACTAGTTTGGGCTACACAGTGAGTTCCAGGTCAGTCTCAACTACGTAGTGAGACCCTGTCTCAAAAACCAAAACAAACAAACAAAAAGCCATGCTAATAGAGAGCAGACAAACCCCCAGAAGACTCCCAACTTTCCCAGCGTCAGAGGGGAGTCTCCACACCCACTTACAGGAAGAGGACCCTGAAACACTGAAGGCTGCTGAGAAACAACTCCATCCAAAGAACCTAGCAGGAGGAAAGAAGAGAAAAAGGGATTTTTAGGGGAAAAACAAGGCTAAGAAGCAGGAGATATAAGCACTGGCTGCAGACTCTTGCTTGAGCCAGGTTTGAACACATCTGCTGTGAAGGACATTTGAAGATTTAGGAACAAGGTACCAAGAAGGGAGTAGCGGGCAGGAAGAAGGAATCATTTTCAGTGAGCGATGCCACTGTTACAAGGACAAGTGTGCTTCTGAGGCAAAAGTGTTGCTATATGGGATGAAATATGGTTGCAAAAGGAGAAAACTCACACGGAGACTCCTGCTGGAGAAAATCAGCTACCTCCTTCCAGGCTGGGCCTCCGAGGAAGGAGAATGGCATCCTTAATAATGATTTTAGGTCAAAAAAGTCAGTAAAACTCTGATACTACATAGTCGTTGTCAGGATTCTTGAATAAAGGACCCGTCTGTTTTCTCGAAACTCTGCTCCTACCTGGTTCGCAGAAACAATTCCATCATTCACTTGAAGACTCGCTTCTTCCTTAAGAGCTTTGTATTTTCTTTCCCTACAGGAAAACGCCTACACCTGCTCCTTTCCGTCGCTCTTAGCCTTTATTCCAGCTTCGCACAGAGAAAAAAAGAAAACGAGCGATTTCCTAAAGATCTGAGAAGCTGTGGCTAACACAGGGACGGAAATCTTTCGGAAGAATTCACGACCGACCCACCATGCTCCTGCCGACCTCACACACCCTCGCCCCAAAGCGGACAAGATGGCGGAGGCCCGAGACGCGGACCTGGCGCGGACGGGGGAAGAGGGCACCCCGTATTCCACGCGCCGGGCGGGGAGACGGCCCCACCCTCCCGCGTCCACACAACATGGCCGCTCCCGAGAAGCCCCGGCTCTTCACACGTGCGTCCTAGGCCGCAAAGCCTCGCTGCGCCGAAGCACAGCTGCCCACGAGAACCGCCGACGACACCAAGTCCTCGCGAAATCCCCTTCACAAGGCAGCGAGTCCCAATTTATACGACGCGCCGCTGGCGGGTTCGACCGAGGCCCCGTATAGTCTCCGCCCTTAGGCGTCCAGTACAGCGCCTGCAAAAAAGGAGTCATGTTTTTGTATTGGCTAAAGGAATAATGCCTGTCACCGCCAGTATGTCCCTCAGAAAGTGAGAATATATTGTCTCTGGAGGTGGAAGGGAAGGAACAAGGAATTATTCGGGACGGCTCGTACGTCCCATGCGTCAGGCAATTTTGAGGTCAGCATAAAACTACGAGCCAAGACGAGAAAGGCCCCAAGGGGGGCGGGACCAGGGCCGGAAGCCAGGGGACCGGGCGGCGCGGCAAGGAGCAGGCGCGGTTTCAGAGGCGGGGCAACCCTGAAAGGCTAGACCCAAGGTAAATCCGAACCTGGGGCGGGAGGCGGAGCCGCTGTCGCGATTGACGGCGAAATTACGGGAGATCACCCGTCTGGAGCGGAGTTAGGGGCGGAGCCGTAGGAGACTGAGTCGGAGCCTCGACTCGCGGGCGGGAGGCCAGGATTCTGGGTTTAAGGGAGATGCCGGGCCCGCACCTCGGGGTCTGAGGGAGGAGGGCCGGGCAGGACGCTGGGTCTGAGCAAAGACTGGGTTTGTGGCTCACCCTTGGTTTTGTGAGTCTGAGGCCTGGAGTCCCGGATTCTTGGTGCGCTGTGAGATCCGAGGGGTGTCAATTGACATGGTTGTAAAAAACTTTTTTTTGAAAATAAAAAGTGAAACATTTCTATTCCCAATCCATTCACCAGAATTTTCCACTCTTAACAATTTGATATGGACATTATACCTCACGGACACACACACACGCACACGTGGAAAAAAATGTTTTTCGCATGAGTATGTTTCAGAAGTAGTCTCCCTGCATCAGTACATACCGAGTTACGACATTCTTTAAGCGGTGCTCAACTGTTCCTTGTGTGAATAGAACATAGTTTGTTTTGCTGGTCCCTGGTCATTTTGCTGGTCCCTGGGTAGTTTTCTTCTAGTGAGTGAGGAAATCCACTAGAGACTTGAATTCCTGTCTTAAGGAAATAGACATTTCTACCTCGTCCTCCTGCCTCCAGAGGAAGAACGAAATTCTCACCGTGGCCCAGTAATCTCTCTGTTCACTCTGCTTTCATCTCTGCCTCTCCCTTGGCCTCCCTGGTGTTCCTGGTACCACAGACCCCTGCGGTTCGGTGCCAGTACCCTACCCAGGATATGACACAGGCCTGAGGAATAACACCAAAAGACAGAACTAGAACGTGCCGGGATGACCAATGCCCGTGCAACTGACAAAGGCGCTGGCCAGTCCCAGGCACTGACTTTTATTGGTAATCCGTGGGAGTAAAGGCAAGCTATGTGCAGTTTCTATGGAAATGAATATAAACAGGGCTTATAAAGGACAAGTCAAAGCACTCTCCAATTAGGAACAGGATAGACAAAATATAAGGTTGTAATTAGAGCATTGTCCTTCTAGTCAGAAGGATTTAACTGTGGGAACAGAATTTGGGTGTGAGTTACTCTGACATCACCTGGGCATGTAAGCTTCAGCCAGACTCACTTCTCAAAACAAGCCATTGTGGCGTTAACTCTTCACAGCCTGCTTGGGTCATAATCAATATTCCATTCCTCTACAGAGGGACCTTCTGGACCTTTGCATCTAGTCTCTTTCTGCCTGGAACTCTCCCTGATCTAGTGGCTCTCTCGTTTTCAGTCATGTCTCTGTTCAGGGGTCATTTTAGCCTGTAGATAGATCCCTTACCCCACACTCCAGGAAGGCTCCCTCCTTCCTGGTCCTATCTCTGTTGCCCTCTTATTTTTCCTCAGAACTTATCTCATGATCCAGTACCTACCTATTTGCTTCTGGCATATTTTTTGCCTCTCTGTTGCAATGTCAGTCCCACGAGGATAAGCATCTGCATCTAGCTTGGCCACTCCTCTTAACCCAGTATCTGGCACAGTTGCAGCTCTGTCTGTTTTAAAACAAATTCGGAGACGTTTTATAGGAGGCAAGAGGGAGGGTTATTGCTGTAACACTGAAGAGTACGTACTGAGGCCCAGGCATTTTTGTTAAACTGTGCATTAAAATATGACCATTGCCCCCACTTTAAAGACAAGCAGACGGAGACTAGATGGGGTCAACACCTTGCCATAGGCCTTAGAGCTAGCGAATGGCAGAGCCTAGACCTCAAATCTGGCGGCTTAACCACTGTGTGAGACGGAAATAGAGGAGACTTGACAGATTAAAAAAAAATTAAAATTGTACTTAAAAAAAAAAAAGCCTAAAGCTTCAAAACAAAAGCTACTCAAAAGTTCCCTTCTAGGAAACTCACTTAAAAAAATTCTTAAAGGTCCTTTTACAATCAACCTGTAAATTCAGGCTCTAGTCCTTTTCACCTGTAAATTGTGCTTCCTCTATCCTCAAAAAACAACAGCATTGCCGAACAATGTATTTCAACTTCAAACACATGTAGATGGCTTACACTGTAACGTGACAGTAAAACTACACACCCTAGATCAACTGCCTGGAAGCCATTCCCTGAAATGTACCCAACTCCAGCTCAATGTATCTCGTTTCTCTGACCACTTGCATTCCTCTCCACTGCATCCTCATAAACCCTTCTCCTGTTTTTTATATATATATATTTTTTTTTTACTGATATGTCCTAAAAATTCTTTTTCAGCATTGGGAGTCGGCAACCTGCAAACTTATTTCTATTTTTTTTTCCATTTGTATATAGTTTATTGGTACTTTTTAAGGATACGGTACAGTGACATTCGTCATTGGGATCTTGGACCCTTACATGACAGATCTTGGTTCTCATTTTTTCCCCATTCCCCTGCCCTCCCTTCACTCCCTCAACCCTCCCCTATTTACAAAGACTTTGTTTCCATTTTTCCTGTTCTCATATTTTCCCCTTTCCCTTATTTCCTTTCCCCTACCCTTCCCACTTCCCCTACACATTCAGCCCTTTTCTTCTATTTCACATTGTCAGTTATACAATTTGGATCTTAATTACGCTTTTAGTTTTTCATACCAGAGAAACTATTCGGTATTTATATGTGTGTGTCTTATTTATTTCACTGAAGAGTATGGTCTCAATATGCATCCATTTTCCTGTGAATGACTTTAGTTTCTCATTCTTTATGCCTGAGTAGTACTCCATTTTATAGAAAAACCACATCTTTATCCAGTCTCCAATTGATGGGCAATTGGGCTGTTTCCAAGTTTTAGCTATGACAAACTGTGCTGCTATAAACATGGGTGTGTATATATCACTGTGATATGATTCTTTTAGTTCTCTTGGAAAGATACCCAGCAGAAGGATGGCTGGGTCAAATGGAACCTCTAATCCTAGCTCTCTGAGGTATCTCCATATTGATTTCCACAGTGGTTGCACCAGTCTGCACTCTCACCAACAATGGAGAAGGGTTCCTTTCTCCCCACAACCCCGCCAACATTTGTTATTGGTTGATTTCTTGATAGCAGCCATTCTTACTGGGGTGAGGTGGAATCTCAGTTTTGTTTTCATCTGTATCTTTCGAATGACCAGTGATGTTGAACATTTTTTCATGTTTATTTGCTGCTTTTACTTGTTTGTCTGAGAAATGTCTGTTCATTTCAGATGCCCATTTTTGAATCAGGTCTTTATATTTCAGGGGGTCTAATTTTTTTTAGTTCTTTATATATTCTAGATAATAGTCTTTTTGTCTGAGGAACATCTGGTAAATTTTTTTTCCCACATTGGAGGTTGTCTCTTAGCTCTGTTGGTGGTTTCTTTTGCAGTGCAGAAGCTTTTTAATAAGATGAGATCCCAGGTGTTGATTCTTTTTTTTTTTCAGCTTTAATTGAGTTTATTGGTACATTTTAGGGATACAGTACAGTTACATTCATTGTTGGGATCTTGTACCTCTACATGACAAGTCTTGATTCTCATTTTTTCCCCTTACCCCTGCCCTCCCTTCACCCCCTCCTTCCCTCCCCATCTACAAACACTTTATT